ATTGAGCTACTTTAACACTATATAATGCATATGTATATTTGACCTGTGCGATATTATCGTAGCTACCAGACACTAAATGCCCACTGAAATGTGGACTCCAAGCTAAGCACACCACTTTATCGGAGTGTCCGTTTAATGTTGCTACTATCTTGTGCATTGTGCAATCCTGATCGTTTTCTATGACGTCTTCGGTACCTGTCGCTTCCAATTCCTTTATCAGCTTGGACATATCAAAAATCATTATACTACATGAATCAGATGCAACTGCCAAATAGTTGGCAATCGGCGACATCCATTTATCTGCCATTGTACTTTCGGGATGCCATGCCAAACAATTCACTACATTTCTTAAAATGTGTATCGAGTTACCGCGTTTTCTCAGCTTCTGATCGTAGAACATAATTGACCTGAAAAAAACAAGATCCATTTAAAACATTTCTTCAATTATTTTTTAAAGAAAATGTTAAATATATTTTATATATATACATATATATATATATATACCCATTTTCTAACGCAACTGCTAAGCATATATTGGATTTCCATGAAAATTCCAAACATCCTTCCTTTATTATAGACATAGGTTCTGAAATAGAAGTTATGGTAATAAAACAATACGACAAAACAATAGATATTATCATCTTACCATCGTTCGGTGTGGATTTTTTGTAAGCTACTAATTCTCCTTCTGCACAAGAGAACAAAAAATATTCTGATTTAAGTTGAGCCCATTCGAGTTTGTAAATGGTATTTCGATGATACTGCCGGTATAATATAGGTTGTTTGTTGGTTCCAATTGCATCAAACACACCAACGCGACCCTCTCCAGTACCAAAAGCAACAGTAGATTCATCTTCCGGGAACCACGATACCTGGTGGAATATATTTTATGATACTAATTCATAACATTTTATCACACTTCAAAAAACAGTTCCATGCGAGAATTTCTTACCACTCTTATTTTTCCCTTTATCTTCTGCCAGTGCATAACAACGTCGAAAGTCGTTGTGTGTGGTTCAGATAAGTTCCATAGACGCAGCATCGCGTCTCCTACGCCAAATGCAATGCGTGAGGTATCAATAGGACAAGCGTTCATACAGTAGACGAATCCTCCTTGTGTAGGAATCTTGTGCTCCAGGATCGCCGATTTGGTAGGATCACTGTTATATTTGCAACATATAACCCAGCGATCTTGTGCTAAAGACCAGACTCTGAGCCTAAAGTATTGATAAAATAATGAAAAATTTCAATATTCACATGTTTCTAATTTATGTAAAGTGTTTACTCACTCAGAATTTGTTTTCAAGTCATCAGATATTCTATCATAATTGGGTGCAGCAGCTATTGAAAATAATCCTCTATTATGGAATGTATGGAACAATTTATACTTAGGCTTTTCTCTGCCCGTTGAAAGTTCCCAAGAAAGAAGTTCACCCCAAAGGGAACTAGTCAGAAGCAAATTGGGCTCTGCCCAACATACTGCAATCCAGGTTCCACTTGAAGTGCTGAGCTTGCTTTTATATGAGCCCATGATAGGCGTATTTGGTATATTTAGTACAGTCTCATATCGACCATCTCTACCAGCTCTCCAAATGAATACAGATCTGAATATAAAAAAGATAAATATAACAGTAATCAGTTTTTAGTTATCTATTTCTTACATTTTTAAGTGTAATAAGATGAATATTCATATATATTTTATGTAACTAATAAATTCAGTATGCAAGACACAAAGGATATATACATCTTATAAAAGCTTTGCCTCACCTATCTTTTGCACCAGAAGCTAAAAGTAAATCTCTCCTATTTCCTCCATTTAAAACATTCATGTCTGAAGGGCACCAAGATAAACTAACTATGTCCTCATTGTGTCCTCTCATTCTGTACAATATTGTATCTTTTTGAACAATATAAACTAGTCCACTTTTAGTACCTATTGCTACAAGACTAGAGTCATGAGGACAGCAAGCTACACATGTAGCAGTTAGCTTGCCTAGAGATACTATTTTCGAAGTTTTATACTGTATATTACAGTACATTAAACAACCTTCCAAATTCACTGCACACGCAAGATTGCCATCTTTGGCTGACCAGTCAACTCCCACAATCAATTTGCTTCCCTATATTAATAAATATATATTAATATAAGTTACATAAATAATTAACATTTATAAGTTATTATAGAATATATAATATTTAATTACTTTCTGCCACTTACATCGACAAAAGCAAATTCCGCTACCAACTCCAATGTATCCACATTCCAAACTCTAGCTTTGGTATCATCACCGCTACAGATTAACAGCTCTGGACTGTCTGGATCATCAAGCTTAGGACAAAATGCTAACGCAGTTACTTTGTCTTTAAAATAATCCTTGATTACAGAATACTGCATAACATTGTCTTCTTTCTGCCTGGCAATGACAACAAAGTTCCTCGCGCCCCATGCCACAGTTCCACGTCTAGAGCAAGCAAGGATATTGCTCAAATACCAATTTGGCGAAGGAGGCAACGTAGCTTCATTCATCTTGACGTATTCTCTGTTAACAAAAGAAACAACTCTTATAAAATTATCTTAGACAGCTTATTGAAAACATATTCTGTAAAAAATATTTGTTAAATATTGGCAAACAGATAGAATGCCAGAACAAAAATGAATTAACAGAATGAATAAAAAATCGTTAAGACAATATGATGGTAAATTGATTATAGAAATCAAGCAGAATCTGTCTTTTCATAAATTCCTAAACGATATATTTCGTTTAAATGATTATAAAATTATAGATACTTGATTTTTGGATTTTTACTGTTCGATTTGCTCTCATTGTCAGATTATATGTCAGCAGGTTACAGGTTCTGCTGGTAAAACATGATTTTAATGCATATACAATTGATGCTAATTTGCTACAATATTCTGTTGAAATGCTAATAAATTACTAGCAGTTTGTTAACGTTTTATTTATTGAATACTAGCTAAATTCTTGTCCTTTTTCGCGATAATGCAAAACCATAAAATATATAAGTATATATACACACAAAATTTTAAATATATAAATAATAAGACATAAGGTATGAATTTTGACTTCTAGAAGGATTTTGAAGAAGAATTTTGACTTCTTTTTAGGATTTCTTATCAAATCACTAATTCCTTTTCACTTTTTTACGCAACTCGATTAGAGGTTAACCGGTGTCCGGCATTTTCAATTATGGATTTATCCACGTGATGAAATCGAAGACGATAAATTCAGATAAACTTAGAAAAACTTTGAAATACCTTTCTCGTATTTAAAGTCGTTAGACGGTGACACAGCTGCACTATTTAAGTATTCTTTATTGACCGTCACGCGAGAATGCGAACACCAAACAAG